ATCAGCTCACCTGTCTGAAAAGGATCGGGAAGTCCTCTGCACTCTCAGCCTTCCGGATTCCTTTCCCTCCACCACCTTCAGACGCTTTGATCATCAATGGAAAACCAATTTTTTCTGCTGCCTAGGTGCGAAGGACAAACAGACCCTTTAGAGGCTAGACAGCTGCCAGGATGAGAAGGCGGGTCTGGCTCCTGTGCCCTGGCCCACACTGGACCTGTATTTACCTCCAAGCCCTCGTCTACATCTTTCACACAACCCTTTTCATACACGTCTTCCGGGACACTGATTCTTTTCCCTTGCTGCAGATCATCGTCTGTCCACTCCACTGTCAGACCTGGAGAGTGATAAAGAAAGCTGAATCCCCCTCTTCCCGAACTCTGGGATGGTAAAAACACAACACAACCCAGAAACCACAGGGCCCCTTCCTGATGAAGCATCTCTGGACCCACACAGGACAGACATGCCGCTTCAGCTTCCCACACCGGCTTTTCACATTCTCAAGGATGGACTTGACCTTGAATGGGAAATCAAGCTTAAAAAAAGAAAGAGGCCAGGCATGGTGGCTCATGCCTGTAATCCTAGCACTCTGAGAGGCCAAAGAGGGTGGACTGCCTGAGCTCATGGGTTCGAGACCAGCCTGAGTAAGAGCAAGAGCCCTTACTCTAACTTAAAAACAGCTGGGCATTGTGGTGGGTGCCTAAAGTCCCAGCTACTCCGGAGACTAAGGCAAGAGAATTGCTTGAGCCCAAGAGTTTGAGGTTGCTGTGAGCTATGACACCACAGCACTCTACCAGGATGACAAAGTGAGATTCTGTCTCAAAAAAAAAAAAAAAGAGAGAAATCAAGCTTAAATTCAAACTGAGTCTACCAAGAACAATCAATCATATTAACCTGAATCCCCCCAAAATCCCAATTCTATCCTACAGAGTCATTTATACATGAATCATTATTTTCTAAAACTATGTGAAGACTTAACAAATGAAAACAAGTAAATTTTCCCATTCCAAAATTTAAAATACAACCTTTAGGGCAAAAAAATGTAATAAATGTTCAACATTGGGTCATAGGATTATAGGATTATAGGATTTCTACTTCTTTTTTATATTTCTCATATTTTCTAAGTTGTCTACAATAAAATTGTACTGCTTCTTTAATGATTTAAAATTCTTTTTTTTTAATTTTGAGACAGAGTCTCATTCTGTTGCCCAGGCTAGAGTGCCATGGTGTCAGCCCATATAACAACCTCAAACTCCTGGGCTTAAGCAAGCTTCCCGAGTAGCTGGGATTATAGGCACCACAAAGCCTGGCTAATTATTCTATTTTTAGTTAAGGATGTGGTCTCATTCTTGTTCAGGCTGGTCTCAAACTCCTGTCCTCAAGTATCTTCCTACTTCTACCTCCCAGTGTGCTAGGATTACATGTGGGAGCCACAGTGCCTATCTGAGTTAAAATTCCTAATGAAAAAATATTAACAACCATACGTCTGCCACCCTGACTGCTCACATGACCATGACAGGGCTGAGAAGTTCCCCCACAGTGAAGCTCGAATCCCTTACCACTACCACTCCAAGGCAGAGTTGGTATCTGCAGCGTCTGGGCCACGATGGTGGAGGCAATCTTGTCTCCCAAGGCCCACATGGCCTCACTGGGAGGGCCTGAGGAAGTAAGGACAAGAAGAGAAGCAGAGTCAAGTCAGCCACAAGACCCTCAAGGCTGAGTGCCAACCAAGTACCCATGCTGGGAGCAGATGACAAAGGACAATAATTAGGTGCCAGCTCTCAAGGAGCTTAACCTCATATCAGAGAAGAAAAAAAAATCTGCTGTTGCATGTGGACTGCAAATATGGTGTGAGTTTTTCCTAAGCTATGGTATCATCTACAATAGTCACTGTAGAGGAGAGGTAGACAGCTGGACAAGGAGGCAAGCTAGCAGCTCACAGAGCTAGACCATGGCTGAGCAAAGTTTCCTATAGGGAGCCAGACAGCAAATATGTTCAGCTTTGCGGGCCTGCAAGTCATTAGTAACAAGTACTCAGCTTTGCCAGCATAGGGTGAAAGCAGTCATAGGCGATACAAAAATGAATGAAAGGGCTCGGCGCCTATAGCTCAACCGGCTAAGGCGCCAGCCACGTACACCTAAGGTGGCGGGTT